CCAATCGACGGTTACACCAAAAGCTTAAGTAGTACGGCCAAGGTTATAATTGTCCTTTTTGCACATAGCTACCCTTAACGATTATAACTCAAACGCTGCGTTTTGATTAAGTCGTTACAACTAACTCAACGGTTACACTCAAACGCTGCGTTTTGGCTAAGTTCATTACAATACCCTCCCCTTAAACCAACCTTGTCCTCAAGGTTTAAAACTTGGAAATTGAGACATGATGTGATGGTATTCTTCCCATGTAGCTTCCTCTGGGATAGGTTAGCCCATTGCTCCAATATTTCAACTAATGCTGCATTATTCTTCTTCAAGATTCTCCTTCCCAAGATTGCTATTGGTTCAGTTAAGGGCTGCCCATCAGGCCCAATCAGAGGTGGTTCGAACTGAGCTGGCTTGCCATGACTAACTCTCTTTTTTAGTTGATATACATGGAAAACTGGGTGGATTAGGGCCCCAGCTTGAAGTTTTAACCTGTAAGCCACTTGACCAAACTTTTCCAACACCTCATAGGATCCATAGAACTTGGAGCTTAGCTTGACATTCCTTCTAACAGCCATAGATACCTGTCTGTAGGGCTGTAGTTTTAAGTAGACCAAATCTCCCACTACAAATGATCTTTCTGTCCTATTTTTATCAGCATAGTGTTTCATTCTATGTTGTGCTTCCCTCAAGTTATCTTTGAGTATAGCCATCACGTGTATTCTATTTTGGACCCAACTTTCTGCATTCTCATCAGCTGACCTTGCTGCATCATTGATGGCTAACTGTGGAGGAGGGTAGCCATATGGCTTGAAAAGGGGACATCTTCACTGAGCTGTGGTAATTTGTATTATACCAATGTTTCTAGACACCTATTGAGTCTTTCTGTTTGTCCATCTGATTGAGGATGGTAAGCTGAACTCATGTGCAATTTAGTTCCCATCCTCCTAAAAGCTTCTCTCCAAAACTTACTAAGGAACACCTTGGCCCTGTCTGATACAATGCCTTGTGGCAGCCCATGTAACTTATACACCTGCTCCATGAATTTGTTTGCCACTTTTTCAGCAGTGAAGGGGTGAACTAGACTCATGAAGTGAGCATACTTGGTCAGTCTATCCATCACTACCATGATAACATTCTTGTTGTTGGATTTAGGTAAGCCCTCAATAAAATCCATAGCCACCTGGGACCAAGCTTGCTCAGGGATAGCTAGTGGTTGCAGAAGCCCAGGGGTCTGCACATTTTCTGTTTTGTTCCTCTGCCAACAATCACAGCTGCCCACAAATTATTTAACCTGCCTTTTAATTCCCTTCCAATAGAAGACTGCTTTTAGCTTAGTATAAGTAGCTTGGATTCCAGAATGGCCTCCTAAGGCAGTATTATGAAATTCAGAGATTAATTTCTTTCTCAAGTCTTCTTGGGCTCCAATTACCAATCTCCCCTTGTACCTTAATAGTCCATTTTCTAATCTCATAGAAGGAACAGAGTTGGGATCCACACTCAAGGCAGTAATTTTCTCTTGAATCCAGTTGTCATTGTGATAGCTTTGCAGCACCTCTTCTGTCCATAGGGGTTTAAGGATGGATGTGGCACAACATTCCCCTCCTTCTCCTTTTTTAGATAAGGCATCAGCTGCAGAATTATCCTTCCCTTTTTTGTAAGTGATAGAGTAGTCTAACCCCAACAATTTAGTCAACCCTTTCTGCTGAATGACTGTGGTGATCTTCTGTTCAAGTAGGTATTTCAAGCTCTAGTGGTCAGTTTGGATACTAAAATGCCTTCCTTTTAGATATGGCCTCCATTTCTCTACTGCATTCAAAATGGCTAGGTATTCCTTTTCATATATGGACCATGCTGCATGTTTAGGCCCCAACCCTTTGCTGTAATATGCTATTGGTCTACCTTCTTGCATTAGTATGGCCCCAATTCCCTTGCAAGATGCATCAGCCTCAATTACAAATTCATTTTCAAAATTAGGCATGGCCAATACAGGTGCTGAACACATGGCTTTCTTCAGTTGTTCAAATGCCATTTGTGCTTCTTCAGACCAGGTAAACCCATTCTGCTTCAACAATTCTGTCAAGGGCCTGCAAATAGTTCCATATCCCCTTATGAATCTCCTATAATAGCCAGTGAGGCCAAGGAATCCCCTTAATGCTTTGATGGTGGAAGGTTGTGGCCATGACATTACAGCTTCTATTTTGGTTGGGTCAGTAGCCAACCCTTCCCTTGTCAGAACATGGCCCAAGTATTCTACTTGTTTTTGGGCAAAGAAGCATTTGCTTCTCTTGGCAAACAACTGGTTCTTTCTCAATAATTGTAAGGCTGTGGTGAGGTGTTCCAGATGTTTCTCTAATCTTGAGCTGTAAACCAGAATATCATCAAAAAATACAAGGATAAACTTTCTCAAGTAGGGCATGAATACCTCATTCATTAAAGTTTGGAATGAGGCTAGGGCATTGGTAAGCCCAAAAGGCATCACCATGAATTCATACAAGCCTTGATGTGTCTTGAATGCAGTTTAAACTCCTCCCCCTTCTTCATTCTGATTTGGTGATAACCTGCTCTCAAATCTATCTTGGAGAAATGTGTTGAGCCTGATAATTATGAAAATAAGTCCTCTACTAGTGGAATAGGGTACTTATTTTTTATGGTGATCATGTTTAGGGCCCTGTAATCCACACAAAACCTCCATGTTCCATCCTTCTTGGGCACTAGCAATACTGGGGATGCAAAGGGAGAGGTACTAGGACATACAATTCCAGATTGCAGCATGTCCCCAATCATTTTTTCAATAATGTCTTTCTGATAATGTGTGTATATGTAAGCTTTCAAGTTGACAGGGTTTGCATTAGCCACTAATGGAATGGCATGATCATGTAGCCTAGTGGGAGGTAGGCTTTGTGGTTCCTCAAACACATCAGAGTACTGGGAAAGTAATTCCATCACCTTGTCATCAATGTCTTCAGCAGGTGATGATAATGCTTCAATTGCACTGCAGGAGGCTGCTGAGTTATCAGAGTTTTGATCTGAACCAAAACAGTAGATTAGGAATCCCAAGGCTCCCTTCTTAGCCCAATTGCTCTTTTCCTTGGGGTTTACTTCCTTGAGGTCCACCCTTCCAGAGATGCCTTGTAATGTGACTTCTTTCCCTTCTTTAACAAAGGATATTCCCAGTGGTCTTGTGTGTAATTGAATAGGAGAGAATTGATCTAGCCAGTCCATACCTAACACCATGACACATCCCCCCATTCTTAGTAGTCTAAAGTCTCTTTGGAACTCTTCTCCTTGCACTGTCCAGAGAAAATCACTGCATGCCTCTTCACACATGAGTGTCTGTCCATTGGCCACTGTTACATAGAGGGGATTGGTTTTATAAGTGTGTGTTTTGAGCCCTTGTATCACCATGGGGTCCAAAAAACTGTGAGTACTGCCTTTATCTACAAGGATGATTAGTTTTCTCTTGCCTACTTTTCCTAGCAATTTTATAGTACTTAATCCCTCTCCTCCCAACATAGCTAGAAGGGAAACTTCTGCAAGATCTCCATGCTTTTCATCACCTTCAGAACTCAAGGGTTCTTCCATTTTTTCTCCTTGTTCAGGCAGTTCCTCCTCCAATCCTGTCATCACATTAAATGTTCTTGGCTTGCACTTATGTCCATGTTGCCACTTCTCCCTACAATAGAAGCACAATTTCTGCTCTTTGAGCCTATCCATTTCAGCTCGGCTCAACTGTATCATGGGCTTCCCTCTGTTCACACTCACAGAACCAACAGAAGAGGTTCCAGAACTGCTGGTGGATCCTTGACTAGGCCTCTTCTCTAACCATTCTGTTCCTTTTAGGCCTTCCTCAAATTGCCTGGCATACACATATGCATCTGTCAGTGTTAGGGGGTTGGCAGTTTTCACAAAGCACCTTATGTGCCCCTTCAGTCCACTAATATAGTTCCTGATGAAGTATAGTTCTGTCAGTGTAGGGTGAGCGAGCAACATCTGTATTTTCAACTCATCATACTTACAATTATACTCCTCCACCCCTCCAGTTTGTCTCAATCTCTTGAATTCTTCCTCTACACATTCCAGTCCCAAAGAACTATACCTTTTGCACACATCTTCTGCAAAATCTTCCCAGAATACTCTTCCACCATGGTCAATCATGTATCCTTCAAACCATGCATCAATCCCTCCCTTAATATAGAATGACGCATATTCCATCTTCAATTCATTCGGAATACGGTATAGGACGAAAAACTTATTACACCTTCTAATCCATCTTCTAGGGTTCGTGCCATCAAACTCAGGGAAGTCAATTCTAGGTTTTGGTGCCCTCAAGTAATCATCATTTGGACGCAATATGTGTCTATTTTGCTCGTGATTCCCTACGTGTATTCCAGAATTAACATTAGCATGATTAAAAATTGGTCGATTACCTCCGGAGCGATTCACAGATGAACTCGCTCCCTCAGTGTGGCGTATCTGCACGCCGGCCGGAGTTTGATTGGTGGCCTGCTGCTGATTGGCGGTGTTCTGGTTCCCTATGGCCATCATCCATTGACGGACCTCGGCTTGGAACGCGTGGAACCCTGCTTGGAAGGTTCCCAGGGTCTCCACACTTGCTCTTTGATTGTCATTCAGCTGCGTCTGAACCGCCTGCATCTGCTCTTGCATCTCGGCGATTTGCGTTGCAGCTTCATCGTAATCGCGACGTGTATTGGTCATCAAGTTGAGCTTTGATACCAGTTGTAACGAACGCTCAGTGAGAAGAAAGAAGAAACTGTAAATTTTCCATTAATTCCAATCGACGGTTACACCAAAAGCTTAAGTAGTACAGCCAAGGTTATAATTATCCTTTCAGCACATAACTACCCTTAACGATTACAACTCAAACGCTGTGTTTTGATTAAGTCGTTACAACTAACTCAACGGTTACACTCAAACGCTGCGTTTTGGCTAAGTTCATTACACTATCCTTCGACGCCGACGCCACGAACTGCAGTAGACACCACCGCCATTCTGTCTCGACTAGCCACTCACCCTGCTAGCCTCCGCCACCGCCATTGCTAGCCTCCACCACCGCTGGTAAGTGTCCCTTCAAATTTTTTGTTATTTATTTCTTCTCCTAATCCCTAAAATCAAACTTGACGGCTCAGATTTGGACGGATTCGCTCTGTTTTCGCTCAAAATATACTCGCCGGAAGAAGTAGAACCTGAGATTCAAGCTTATAGCCGACAGACATCACCTGCCTAAAGTATTGTCACTCACATAATTGTGTGCCTACAGTGTGAAAAACATCTTAATTTTGTACTTGATCTCTTCTTGACTCATTTAGTGTAAACTAAATGTCTTGATTGTTTCTATTTTGTCTCAGATTCCAGCACCAAAAAGAGGTGATATTGTTAAGCAGATTGGTGATGCACTTAGAGCAAAACTTCACTACTTTGGCCGACTTGTTTCACTTGAAATGGGGAAAATACTACCCGAAGGAATTGGGGAGGTTCAAGTATGTATACTTTACTAATTAAGTGTGTGGTGTAACAAAAGAGTTTTATTCTTCTGCAAGAAATGAAATTGTTCTTTGACTTGTTCTCCTGCCAACAATAATGTACACATTAATTCCATTTTCCCTGAGAATAATTTATGGTTGTCATTTCTAAATTACTTACTACTTGGGCCTATGTGCTAGTGCATAATCATCTTGGATCTTCCTTTTTTATTATCACATTTTTTCGAATGGCTATTACATATTAAATTGGCAATACTTAAATGCAAGTGATGATACAAATTACTGATTAGTTATATATTTTCTTTTAGCATTCATGCCAGAATGAATTAGTGATATAACTTTGAAAACAATTTAATCAGCAAATTATTGACATGTGTGACTTCGCTGTTGGTTTGAGCTGGCAACTAAATGGATCAGTCATACCATTAGAACGTGAGTCCACTCTTCTTCACCTGCTTATATCTGATTTCTTTTTAAATGCTCTAGGAGTTATATTTGTGAGGATATCTTTCTTTTCCTTGTTGTCTCTTCTCTAGATTAATTAGCTCTACTTGGTTTTAAGATAAGGTAGAAGTGAATCAGATACAATCAGAAAATTTATGATCTGGATATTGATATGTTGCTTCTTCTGGATTTTTGGGCTTCTTTGCAATGTTTTTTCAGAAGTTCAATTTAATTAGTTGTGTGTTTATTTTTTTCAACAGGCCCTAATCATGTGATGTTGGAGGTGAAGTAGATAACAGACCATAATTTTGGTATTATGTTTTTTTTCTATACTACACTTGATGTTCCTTGTCTATTCTTCATGGACAGGTGTGGAATCCTCTAGGGGTAGTTGGTGTTATTACTGCTTTTAACGAGAATTGAGATTTCTTGATGGTTTGCAATATAGTTTATCAGTTATAGAGTGTTGCTTTGTCATTTGTGAATTCACAAGAGTTTCTGAGAATGTTTCTGGTGATTTAATATTTTGGTATGGCATTATATTGGTGAAGTTTTTACCAAACACACTATTAGATGATCACTTTGGCATTAGTGAGTAACTTTTTCAAACATGATTGTACAGGATGGAATGCATGCATTGCATTAGTATGTGGCAACTGTGTTGTCTGGTAATTTCCTAACCAAAGTCGTCTTAGATTATGATAGCAACTATTTGAAAATAAAATATTTGATTTTTATTGGTCAGCGGTTTCTCACTGGATTTCTTCTATGCTTAAGTGTGTTCTTCTAAATGTACATAGTGCATAGTTTTGTTAATATGTTGACTTAATCCCTTCAAAAGTCTGGATGTCTTAGAGAGTGACAATCCTACTTCTTGATTCAAGTCCATGTTTGAAATCCTCTTTCATATTTAAACTGGATTCTATTTTTTAATTTGTTTATCTACTTTATGATCACAGGAAAGGAGCGCCAACTACACCATTGGTTACAATAGCAATGACAAAAATTAAGATAGGGGTATACAAGCAAATTAAGATAGGGGATCCTTTAGAGAAGGGTACCTTGCTTGGACCACTGCATACACTTGCTTCAAGGGAGAACTTTGAGAAGGGATTCAGAAAATTATATCGGAGGTATGTAATGTAATTTCACATTTTTCATTACATAGTATTTAATTATACTCTTTTAAATAAATAAAGTTTTGTGATTATTTCTTTATCCTAATTCTGATTGGATCCTCACAGCGCACAGTGTAGCTCCTATAAGCACTATTATCTTACTCATATCCTAACAGTCTCAGTTTGATAAACTTAAACACTGAAATTTCATAAGCATTAAGAAGAGCTTTATAATAGCATCAATATAATCTTATGTTGAAAACTTAAAGGGTGGTTTACACACACACCCCTATCTTCAAGGTTATCCACCGTTATTTTTGTCGTTCTGAAGCATGAATGATATTATCTTGGAATAACCAGATCACATCTCAAGACAACCAGGCATATAGCAACAATTGGTTTCTTATATGATTTGTTTTTTTGACTCTTGTTTTTTCTATAAAATTTTACTAATAGATTTAATTTTCTGGGAGGCAAGATCCTTACAGGAGGTTCAGTTATACCATCTGAGGGGAACTTTGCACAGCCAACAATAGTAGAAATATCTCCAAGTGCTAATGTGGTGAAGGAAGAGTTGTTTGGCCCAGTTCTTTATGTTATGAAATTTAAGGTAGCAACATTTTAATGCAAATTTATGGTTTTCACGATTAGAAATTGTTGTGTTGTGTCGCATGGACAAACATTGTTCAATTAATGTCTCACTTCTGAGTACTCACTATGCTCGGACGTTGTTGAAATAAACAACTTTGTGCCTCAGGGTTTGAGAAGTTCAATCTTCACCAAGAAACCTGAATATATTAAGGTGGATTGGATTAGAATTTCAACAGCTTATTTTCTCATTTAATGAAATTGAAAGATTATAATCGAATGAAATGTGTATAGTTTTTCAGCAAATATGTGACTAGCTTGCAACAATAAATAAATAATAAATAAATAATATATATATATTCATTTCATCACAGAGGATTCCTCGGTCCAGTTTTCTGACCACCAAAGTGGTCGAAATTTTCGACCACCGGTGGTCGGAAAATCTGAACCCGCCTAACTATTCTCTTGGCCATTTTTTTCGACCACCTTAGAAAAGTGGTTACTCTTTCTGACCACTCTCTCTGGTGATCGGAAATAGCTAGGGGGATTTTTCCGGATACCCAAATTGGTCGGAAAAGAGGTCGGAACAAGTGTTTCTGACCTAATTAAGGCCATTTCCGACCACTTTTCGATGGTCGGAAAATGACAAATTTCCAGCCGTGCAAGCTTCAACCTCAAGAATCCTTCCATCTTCAACCTCAAGCTAAGTCTTCTTCTTTACCATCTCCATTTCTCAAGCAACAACCAGCACAAACAAACACATCTAAGCTTAGAAAACCTCATCTTAGAAAACAAGCCAACAAAGGAATATGGAGAAGAAGAGATGAAATCTTACCAAGTCTTGGACCTAGGTTTTTGGAAGATGAAGGAGGATAAAGATGTTGGAGAAAGAGAGAGAATGAGAGTCCTGTAGATTTCATTTAGAAAATGAATGGTGAAGCAAGGGAAGAATACTATTCTTTATAGTTAGGGTTTGGGGTAAAAAAAGTAAAATAAAATTGTAGGGTTCACCTTGCATCATGAACCATAGTCTAGAAAGATGATTTTTGAATAAATTGGGGTCAAAATATATTTTCTAAAAGATAGTTCTAATTAAAACACTTGGTTCAGGTTTCACAGATTCCTTTCCGATTTCACTCAGATTGACTTTTGGATAAAAAACTTGGTACTCAATGTACCCGAAAATTTAGGATTTTTGAATTAAAATAAGTTCCGGCGTTGAATTCATTTAAAATGTAACCCAAAATAATTTATTCAAACACCAAATTTATCTCAAAAATTTTTATAGAGTGAAAAATGGCTATTTTGGAATTTCTTAAAACCGAATTTATAAAATAAAATTTTGGGTTGTCACATTGATAATCACGGATGATTGCTGCAACAAAGGTACCTCGGTCATCACGGATGATCTAACCAAAACCCATGACACCTTTATCAAGATCAATAGCTGCATCAACATTAAGCTTAAAGAATCCATGTGTAACACCCCACTTTTCTTAAACTTACTTAACAAGCTAAAACCAAAAATAAGATAAACTAAGCAGCGGAAAAGTAAACTTAATTAACAAACTTAGTAGGAGTGTCACTGCCACAACCACCTTCCCACGGTGATTGCACAGGCTAAGCGTAAAACTAAACATCAAGCCAAACTAACATCCGAAATTTACTACATTAAAGTAACTTGGGGAAATAAGTACCCCGGTGTCTATCACCAAACACAATAACAAGAGTCTACATCCATAAATCCAAAACATCATCATTAAAATAAGAGTTTAGACTAATAGCAACAAACTACACTAGTCTAACTCGAGTGCTCTCAAACGCTGGGCCCACCTGAAAGGGGTTTTGCAAAACAACAAGTAAACAAGTAGAAAACACCTGTTAGCACAAAGCTAAGTATAACTACACTCAACCATGTAAAATACTACAGTATATACTTTGGAAAAACATTTGATCACATTCCCAAACTTAAGCAATCTCAAACACTTAGACAAAAACCTTTATAAAAACCACAAAGCTTTCTATATGCTCACCACCTAATTTATCAATAGGCATACTTTAACAATAAACAACTTATTAACATGCTCATACCAACACATAATTAACAAGCAAAACTCAACTTTATGGAACAACTCCTTAACAATCTCATGCTAGCAAGTTTTCATTATGCAATTAAGTATAATCAAATATCCAATATACGATCTAACGAATTCATATCATGCAAACTCGTGCAACCAGATATCAATATGCAATCTAGTGCAAACTTCCTCGATATGCAAACTTGTGCAACACTATACTCAAATGCAATGAAATACTATAAGTATAAATATACTCTCGTTTGTAAATAGCAATGTTGCAAAAGACGTTAGGCGCCCCCTAGGCGCCCAGGCGCCCGATATATATATATATATATATATATATATATATATATATATATATATATATATATATATATATATATTTGTTAAATTAAACAACGGTGAGTGCGTGAGAGGTTAGTAATTAAGATGAAGTAGTCTCAACTTTCAATGTTAGCATTGAAAAAGTAATAAGACAGCTGGTCCCAACTCCCTAGATCTGATTTCAAAAGCAATGAAAATGTAAAAAAGTAAAAAAACATCTGATTTGTCCCAACTCCCAGCGTTAGCTTTGGCCTTGAATGAATGCATCACTTCGTTTCATCTCTCAAAGCATCTATTTCTCCAGTAGTCTCCAACTCTCCCGTCTCCACTCAACCGTCTCAACTCTCGGAGCATCATCTGATTTCGTCTATCTGATTCTCGAAGGCGACCGGCGACTGACGGAGGCGGGGGGCGTGGTCGGCAACTGATGGATGGAGGCGGTGACTGGCAGAGGAGCTTCGGCGGACTGCAGATTCGCCGTGTCGGAGTCTCGGAGACTGCTTCTCTGTTTCTGAAGTCGCCAACTCGCAAGAAGAAAAAAAAACACGATTGAGACGGATTGGCTGGTCCGCGGTCGGCCAATTCCGGCCTTCCTCGACGCGGCCAGTGGCCGCCTAGCACCTAGTCGCCGATTAATCGGCGCCTAGTCGCGATTTTTGCAACACTGGTAAATAGAGTACCTTTTTGTGGAGGTTTCTTAGAGCCACAAGGACTCGCTTGCTTTCATTTTTAGAGTTGCAATTACTCACTTTCTTTACAAATGGATGAGGTAGGAACTTCACCATAGCGTGCACGAACCTATCCCGGTACGACCTCTAGCCGACCTATGCTCAATCTCATCCACCGAACCACTCTCTTGGTTCTATGTTCAACTCTGTGGAATCAGGTATCGAACTTTCAGCGTGCACACCCCATAACCAGGATTCCAAGCTTGGCGGGCAGTTTCCAACCTCGTAACGTGGAAATACACCGCGTTACCAAACATCGGATCTCAATATCCGGTCATCATCATCCGAAAGGACATAGTCCCAACGGGTCCTCCATCACTTATATATATATATATATATATATATATATATATATAAGGCAACTCTTTTACTTTTGCAAACTTATGCATGTCACTT